CCCCCCCGCCCCTCTTTCTGGTTTAAAAATAACCCAAAACCCACACAGATTTCTTTGTATGGACCTGACACTCCCTGCTCTTGCCTTGGCCTGAGCTGATTTTACTGGTTTCAGAAACTGTCTAGTTGTCAAATGACTATTGCCTACCCTGTTTAACTTAAGCTCTCTCAAAACCATACATGGATAATTGATGCAAAACAAATAATAGCCTTTTATTTCAACTGAGATTGGGGGACAATTTGTCTTTTTTCATACTTAACTTTGTTACTGAAAAAAAACCCAAGTTCTGATAGTGAAATTTATAGAACTAACCCAAGCAGATACCTAGAACTGAGGAGGAAGAACCTCACCATAACGGCTTAATCCTCTTGATTTTTATCTCATGGTGCTCTTGAATCCTTATGGCCCCCACTCTTTCTAAGGAAAAAGATTGAAACATTAGTACCCAGAGAAAAATGGCAAGGGTAAGCATAAAATAGATATTTCAAGAAGGTACTAGGAAGGCTTTAAGGTAATTTTTTTCTGTGATTTTGAGGCTTTTCTGATGGAATTTAAAAAAAACGGGTAATAGACTGCTTTAACTATTAACTGGAACACCAATACATTTTTGGTTCCATAAATAAATTTCCACAAAGTTAATTCTAATTTTCTTATAGCAAAAGGCTGAATGTAACAACTTAGGTAATTAGCACTAAAAGCCAATTGTGCTACAAGTAAAACAAAGGAAGTGGTGGGAATGTACGATGGAGGGGGAGAAATGGAAATGTTTTAATTTTAATGCTGTAATTGTCAGGCTTAACCTGGTCTTACCTGTGTAAATCTGTAAATACTCTGCATCTCTGAGAAGCCCTTGGGAAAAGGAAGATTGTGGCTTAGTGTAACATATTTAATCTTTCAGTAACTTTTTTATTTAAACAAAAATAGAGAGCCCTGTGACACATGCTTCCTGAGCCACAAAAGCAGAACTCTACATAGATATATGGCTAAGCTTACATTCCATAAGCATTTATGGAATACTATTGGAATTGAATTTGGAATACTGTTGAATCTTTTTGATTGTGGGGTTTTGTGGTGTTGGGTTTTTTTGTGGGTTCTTTTTTTGTGTGTGTGTTGGTTTTGTTTTGGTTTTTTTTTGGTTGTTGGGGTTTTTTGTTTTGTGGGGTTTTTAGGGGGCTCTTTTGTTTTGTTTGTTTTTTCCCCTTCAATGTGAGCCTGTAGCATTTCATAGCTTTCATAGTATCACTCTAGATAATGCAAGTCAAAAACGGCCTTAAGCCCCATGGGGGGAAGACGAACAGCAATGGTTGGGTTAACTCCACTAGAGAGGAGAATAAAATGCTCCATTAAACTCCTATCTCAACCTTAATTTTTAGCAATGTCTGCCTTTGAGGCACACTACTTCCATCTCTTCTTTTTTTTTTTTTTTTCTCAGTTTTCTTTTAACTAAAATAAGAAGGACAAGGGAGTCCAGATTATCTTATTATTATTGTTGTTAATTAGTTTTAACTTATTAAATGGAAATGTTGTTTTTGTTTGTTTGTTTGTTTTTTAATTTATGGGACAAATAGAAAAACTGGTCTGAAAGTTTGAGCTGGATACACAAAAACAAAAGGGAACAGGTAGTGTCTTCAGCACATATTAGGAAGAGAAGAATAAGATATTTTATGTACTCTGATATATTTGGGAACTCTGGCACATTTGTTATATGTGCCCATTATAAATTCTTACGTATTTTTGTGGTAGAATACCTTAAGGTAAGCATCTGAGACATCAATTTTGAGAAGTGATACCTGGTTGAAATTGGTGTGGATTTATTGGTTTTTTGACAGCAGGGTGAATCCTGTAGAATTTGCCAGTTAGATTCTAACTCTGCTTATGGTGTTTGTGTTGCTAACACACAGTCTGAACAACTGGTACATTTAGTGTTTTCTCAGCTGTGGAAAATTATATTTTGATCATTATTGCCAACCAGCTCCAGCATTCAAAAGTCATCTTGAAGGTGAAAGTTTCTATGACCTGTTTTCTGCTGTTGAGAGATCTGTGTTAACCAATCTGGTTTAACAAGTAGAAGACTCTCCCCACACCACTACCCCAAAAGCTGACTTTGATGCTTCTCTTAATTTCCTAGTTACTTTTCAGATTAATCTTTCTCACACCATCTAACATTTGTTCTCACTAGTCCTGGAAAAATAAAGAAATAATGTGACCTATCTTTCTATTTTCTTAATGCAGATTTGATTCAGCTTTTAACGGTGTTTAACATAAATAGTATATCTTTAAGGAAAATCTGAATAATTTATCTGAGCTGTTAATTGCTTTAAGCACTGAAAAGCTGTTTATCTATGTCTCCAGATAAGACCAGGCACCAGACTCGTTGCATATATTTATAATTATGTAAAATTATTACTTCTGTCTTATGATTTATAGTTTTGAAAGATTAGAATAGTTAAGAGCAGTTTGCCTGGTAATATTTGAAGAAATGGAATAATTATTCCTTATTTACAAAGTGAAAATAAGGATTTGAAGAGATATATTATTTTTATTTAATGTGCCAGATATGGTACACTTAGAAGTATTTACAAGAGGTAGAACTTTAAAATGTAATACTTTTGTGCCTGTCTGGGTTGTAGGGTGTTTATGTGTATGGGAGGTGTTTTTGTACATATTTTACATACAAATAGAAGCCCTGTGTTGAATGTTCTTTACAATTCTTGTAGTTCCTTAGACCTCTTTACATGGAAGAACTGAAGTCCTAACACTGAAATATCTGACAGTCACGCTGAATTTGGATTTAGATAATTACGTTAAAGTCATTGGATCCTACAAAATAAGAGATGAAGCAGTCTTTTTTTTTTTTAGACACTCTGAATTCCTAAACCTGAACAGCATCAGGGCCAAGATTTGTAGCCCTGAACTCTCATGTTTTTGAAATTGGTGGAAAATTCTCATCTTTTATTTAAAACAGAGCTGCAATAGGGAAAGGTTTTAATGTTACTGTGTTTATCCCCCCTCCTTGGCCCCCTCAGCCTCTGAACCACAGATCAAATGTTAGGGCTATTTATAGGTGAGATTGCTTCTATTTAAGTGCAGTTTCAGAGCTTCAGTGAGAAGAGCAAGGGTCAAAATTGTTGAGCTCTATGAAAAATTTACAAGGACATGGTAGCTATGTCTGAGCAGTGTAGTATCTAAGAATTAAGATTTGTCTTCCCCACCCCAAAAAAAAATAATAAAAAGTGGGTAAAATGATGTTAGGCTCCAGCTGCACCAAAGTAAAACCTAACTGTCTCTATCTGAGGATACCAGAGCCAGAAAAGTTATCTGGGGGAGTCAAAGATTATAGTTGTTTTTCTCACGCAGTCTTTTGGAGTTCATCCAGATAAACTAGAGTATGTTGAAGTTAAGTGCTCCCTTCCCTCCCTACCACCTGCAGCTTACACCCATTCAGATGGAAAGGTTTGCTCACTGGAGCTGCAGAATGGCTAAGGAATAAGCATGTTTTCTTACTGAGTATTTCTGCATTAAACCACTTAAAAGCAGTCATGTAGAACTCAACTCCTACATGTTGTGTGTCCTGAATCTCAGTGCATCTGGCAGATAAGGACAAATATGCCAATGTTGTGAGTAGCTTAGGCTGTCAGTTAAATGGAGCTTGGGTTTGTATATTTCTGTTACTTCAGCTGGATTTTTCAGGTAGCTACTCAACAAGCAGTGGGTTTAAAAAAAAAAAAAAAAATAAAAATGCTAGGGTGGTTTTGATTCCTATAAACTTTTTTATCTACTTGCACAATGTAATTTCAGTCGTAGGAGTCCTTCTAGATCTGAATCTCACTCAGATAGTGAGAAGCATTTAGGTACTTATTCTCTCTCTCCCTTACGAAGAGGTACAGTCACCATAATAATGTGTATACCATTAAATTCACCAAAATAATAAACTAAATTCTGGTACGTGTAACCTAGACGTTTCTTAAACAGGATCCAATTGCAAAAAAAAACCAAACAGCTGCCTAAGCAGTTTCTGTGAGGTAAAGAATTTTTCCTCATCAATACTTCTGTCTTCATCATAGCATCTAAATAGAAGAATGGAACACAGCATTCTTCACTATTCAGTGTATTGCTCTAGCCTTGAATTCACTACTCGGAGTTAAGTAGTAGCTAACTGTGAATATATGTTTGCAACAAATACATGGATTTTTTTCTGGTCCACTTTAAAAAACCCACACTTTTGAAATACTAAGGTCATTTTAATAGACACAAAAACTTCTGAACTCCTTCTCTGTTAAATTTGAGATACATGGTAACTGATGTAAAAGAATAACAAACGCTACAGTATGTTTTGATTTAGAATAAGCAGTGATTGTAATATGTAGGACATTTGCTTTAGCAATTTCTGCTTTATAGAGGAATTGATCATGAAAATAATAAACTAGGTTTTGTCAAAGATGTATTTTCCTCTGGCAATCTCACCTTCTCTTGTTCAAATAAGTTTGGTATGTCCAGTAAATGAAAAGGTAGAGCTAGCTTGTGAGCACTCAAGTGTAATTTCTAATTTCTGACGTAAAATACAACCATGAAATAGTAATAGTAATAGTAATAGTAAGCAACCGTTTGGTATTGTTACAAGAAGTTGATACCCTCTGCTTTTTTTTCCCCCCCTATTTATTTATATTTTTTTAAATTTACTTTTAAACTCTTAATAAAAAATAACATTGAAAATAATATTTCATGTATTTTCTTACCAGGAGATAAATGCAAGCCTGCTGAATATGCCAAACTGAAAAATGTATTACTGGATCTACAACATCGGCGATACATTGCACAATCAAAAGATAAAACGGTTGATGAGAAAATGGCTTTAAAGAAACTTCTTGTAGATCAAATGTTTAATTATTTTGATTCAGACAGTAATGGACTTGTGGACACTAATGAATTATCTCAGGTAAGATTTAGATTTTGTTACCCTTAGGACAGTAACTATTCAGTTGTCTTTGTCAGGACCTACACACATGGAACATTGTGACTTAAGAGTCTTTCACTTTAGAAAATATATTTAAGTCTGGAGTGGAAAATGTCATTCAAGAGTACTGGAAAAGCCAAATTATCAAGAAATTCAACAGTCATTATTTAGAAATCTGCATACAACATCTTGGGATATACCTTTGGGGGTTAGAACAGTGTATGTTGCTTTGACCATGTGTTCTTTTACTATCCACAGCATGCTGTCATAAAGTCTGACTGTATAGATCTATTTTAGAAGTTGAAAACAAATTATATTTTAAATAACTTGTTTAATGCTAAATATTATTGCTTTCTACAAATTAGGGCTATAGAAGCACAAAAGTAGTGGGAGTTCATGGTAGTCTCTAAACAGCAAGCTTTAACTATTTAAAGTTCTAAACTAATAATTACTGCTCTGGTAGGTGTGACAGCACTAGCTTTAGTCTACATAGAAGAGCTAACTATTAAAATGTAGTTTGATTTACTCAATATTGTAGAAGTCCATGTTTGAGAAACTAAATAATATCTGAGCTGTATTAATGAATCTAATACTAGGCAGCCACTTAAAAATTCAAGAAAAGTATTATTTGTTAGATGCCACTGTTGATCATAGTACTGTATTTTAAGTTTCCAGTGTTAAGAATTTTTTACAAGTGAATCTATTATACGTAAGGTGTTAGGCTGGAATTATCCTTTTCATATAGTTTACCTCTAAAGTTTTTGTGATATGTCCCAGGTCCAAAGGCTGTATGCAAGTATAGGTACAATTTCAAATAATAACACATTACTCATTTAAAAAAAAAAAAATATTATAGGGTTTTTTTGGTGGGTTTTTTTTACTTTGTAAGATTGGGTTTTCCTGCTGTTTTTCAGATCGCCTCAGAACTTCAGCTTGCAAGGGAATTCGGTGCCTTTATATATTTTACAAATAATACTTTTTATATGAATATAATATTTGAATACATAACATATATAGGAGTCAGACATATAGATTTGCAAAATATATTTAATGCTTATAAATATCACTAGGACTTGAAACAGTGTGACAGTGAATAGTGTACTAGTTGGCAGTCTAAATTAACTGAATTTTAAATTCTTCTTTATTTTGCTACTTGCAAATAGCTTGACTGGGTTGCCATAGCCCTCATATAACTACTGGAAAATAGTTAAATACTTTCAGTGCTACAACCTGTTTTCTAATTTTCAGTGTTCTTTTTATTAGAGGAGCAGGAGTAAAATACTAGTACCAGAGGCTAGTATAAAAATATATTTTAGAATCCTAGGTTTGTATAAAGAAACAATACTTCATTCAGTGGCAACAAGTATTATTTTCCTCTTAACCTTTTTTCTGTGTCAGACATAGTTATAGATTACAAAAAGATTCTTACGTTGTGGTATTTTCAAACTTGCCATGCCTAATTTTTCCACATTTTTCTACAAAAATGAATTTATAGTGGCAACCAGAAAGTAATGTTTTTTCATGGGTATGGAACCAGGTGAAACAACCTTATAATCCAAACATGATCCTTCGTGGTTCTGCTAAAATTGATAGCAGAAACATTAAATTATTCAATCTAAAGAATAATGTAAAATAAGTTAATTGTTAGTGCTATGTGGTTTATTATTATATGTTTTGCAAGAGATACAATGAACTAAATTTTTGCCCTCAGAATGGGTCTTTAGTCAGTTTGAACAGAGAAGAAAAAAACAGAAACTATAGCTGTTTCTCATGAAGCCTTTTTGATAGCAGAACATTCAGCTTGAGAACCTTTGTCTCTCATATAGCAAAGGGAAACATTAAATAGTGTATGGCTTTGCATTTATGAACCCAACTCTTGTGTAATCTCAATATGTGTAAATCTCTGTCTTAATCTGACAGAGGAAGATATTTAACCTTCATATTTACTGAGAACAAACCAAGCATGTGACTCAGTTCTCTCTGAAGACTTAAGTAGGATGACAAATTAAAAGAACATAGAGCAATATCTTCAAACGAAATGCAGTGTTTTTCGGAGCATCATCTCTGATTGTTGATAACTTGTCTGTTTTTTTCATTCTCTCGGGGTTTAGCCCAATAAATGTTTTTGGTTTTATTGAACAAAAATATTTGATAAATCGGGATTTTATTTATTTTTTTTCCAAGATGGGATTACACTCTTGCTCTCTTCTGCCCTTAGTGTGTATAAATTGTCGTAGTAGGAGAAAAGTAACAAAAAGACCTAGTCTTTGAATACCATGTCCAGAGGGTATTGATTCATAATGTGAGAGAGCTCCCTGGTACTGAGAGAATCCTGGGCCCATTAACTTTCCTGAGAATGTAATTGTTGAGTAGAACGGGGGGGTTGTGGTAAAAGAATGTTAGAAAGGTCTTTGAACTTCACCAGGGCTGGGTGAGAGATCATATTATCATTATCATTATCAAGGGTTATCATACCCTTGAAAATGTTCTCAGGATTAGAGGAGAAATTTCTTATTTATGCTCACAATACAGCCAAAATTTTGGAAACTGCAGACCTGTCATAAATGATAATGTCTTTCTGCATTTTAAATTTAGTTACATTAAAGGAATATGAAAAAGAACGTATTTGTTGTTGAAAACAATGAGGACTCCTGAAGTTAATTTATGTTCATATGAATATAAAAATTCAGGTTTTAGTGCATCTTAAATTTTACATCTCCTCAATCTTGCTGTGCAAGGACTTCAATCAGGCTCTTGGATTGCATTTTACTTTCTCATAGGTGTCCATATAGTCATCTTATGTAATGTAAAATTGAAATGAATCAGTTGGATATTGAAAATGATGACAACAACCCTCCAATTTTTATTGATGCATTTTGGATCAGAAATCATAAGGTGCCTGCATTTGATCTTGATGCAAGAGAAATAAATGTTCTTCTCCAGAAAAATAAAAAATACCCCTTTTTATTAAAAAGCCATTTCATATAGTGATAAAATAAAACAATATATTTCAGGTATTATATCAACAGAATAAAAACTGACAGGCTGTTATTTTATTTCAACAGTTAGCATCTGGGTATAATTTGTTCATGGCTCTGTAAGCTATTACAGAGTTGCTGTTAAAAAATAATTATAACATTACACCGTTACATGGTGTAAATGTCAGACAAGTTAGTCTGCAAAGAAGATAGAAAAGCGGTAGGATTATGTAGTTCCATGCAAGCTAAGTGAACTTTTTCTCCCCATATGAATTCTTCTCTGAATTGATTGCTTTCACTGCTGAGCCTAACTAATTGAATGTTCTAGATTCCACACACTGTATTGGCAAGTCATATGTGGCTTGGTTTTGAAAGGACTTACCAATTAAGTCCTATTTGACCGCTTTGTTTTGAGAGGTAGAAACTTAATCAGAAAGAGTATCTACCTTTCCAAAAAGTTGGGCTATGAAATAGGCAGAATTTTCATCATCTTCATTACCTGTGGTCTAACATTAATACCACATGTCTGGAAGATTTCTGCTAAAGTGGGGCGGTTCCTTGAAGCTTTGATTTGGTTTGTGTCTAAAGCACTGTGAAATATTTTAAATTAATTCAAATTAAAGGAAGATAATTGATTCTTCTGGTTAGCTATGAATATTCAGTTATTAACAGATTCATTTAACTTTTTATGGAAAAACAAACTGCAGTTTAATACAGATATATAAATGGAATGTCAGTTTTTCTATCACTGTAGACTGCTTGATTACTCTATATTGTTGTGGTATAGAAGAGAAAAAACATTGGAAATGTTATGGGGAGACATGGGAATAAAATGGGTTTTTCCAGTGATGAATGCAGTTATTCCTGTATGGTGGAATTGCTATTTATAAACAGTAATCATTTTCTGGCTGCCATCAGTGAACGATTCAGAAGCTTTAAGATTACTTCATCTTCCTCAACAGTGACATTCAAGTTCCTTGTGTGTGTGGAAGTGAAATGATCTGTACTGGATTAGACTTACTGCTTTCTTTATGTGTATGCCTTATAGAGTGAGTTAAGAAAGCAAAATTTTACAGAAAATGGAAATTATAATCTGGAGGCAAACTGAATATTTAATACATTTTCCTCTCCCTTTCCTGCTTTTTAATGATCTTTTTATGTAGTTAAAGAAAGATTTTAGCATCCTTTTTAGTGAACTAATATCTGTATTTTTAAATACCTGGATATATTTCTGTTATTTACCAGGTTAACATAGGACAAACGAAAGTGTTACATTTTAATCAAAATGCATCCTTTCTTCTGCATTGTATTTCATTTTCTCAGTTTCATTTAATTCCGGTTAGTACGACCAGACAGAAACAGTTAGGAAACAGCCAAATGAATGACTCACTCTTAGACAATTGTAAGGAGTTCATAATTGTTTCAAGGAATGATAATTGGAAGCTATGGGAGCTACTGTAAGATTAAATATACCAGTTTCACCTATCAGTTTAGTGTGCTTCTATAACAGGTGATAACAGAAGTACAGATTTCTTAGAAAGTTTAACAAACCTTTGAGTAGTGTTACATATCTGTGTGTGTTTGTAGATAAATACACAAAGCTGGGGGGTGTGTATGTAAGTATATACAGCATCTTTACATAAAGCATCAATTTAAAAGTTTTAATGTAAATTATAGTGAAGAAGAAACAAAGTAAAGAATTAAATACTGTTGTCTTTATGGCTGTGTAGGCAAATGTGCTTATCTATAATTCTCAGGAATGTGCTGTGCCTTAGAAGAATTGCACTTGCTGTAGACAAGTAGAGTAGAGCTGTAGCTGTAAACATATGTTACCTTAAAAATGCAATCTGAAGGAGTCACATATTTAATTGGTTTGTTTAATACAGCATTATTTGATGCTAAATGTATAGTTAAGATGCAATTTTAATTACTTTCTTCCTGTTGTTTATTCTTTACGTTGTTTTGTTTTTCTCAGTTTTGCTTCAGTCCCTGTCAGTTACTGTA